CTCAGCCTTTCCCCGGGGAGCGCTCTGGTACCTCTTGCGTATAGCGCACAGCCCGGGGCACCAGTGCTTACCATGTTCTGATGGAAGCGGGGTGCCTGTCGTGCTGTGGGAGCAGCAGCTCTGCTAAGGTGGTGTTTAAAATGCATCCTGGCTTGACTAAAGGTTTTTGGGCCAGGTGTGAGACCCCTTGTGACCTGCTGACCTCCACTTTAAGCACTTCTCAGCCCCCTCCCATATTGGAGTGATCCATTCACCCAAAAAGCACTGGCTGCGTCTAGACTGGCATGATTTTGCAGAAATACTTTTAATGGAAAAGTTTTTCTGTTAAAAGTATTTCCGCAAAAGTGTGTCTAGATTGGCAAGTGCCTTTGCGCAAAAGATTTGCTTTTGTGCAAAAGCATCTGCGGCCAGTCTAGACGCGATTTTGTGCAAGAAAGCCCCGATCGCCATTTTAGCCATCGGGGCTTTTTTGCGCAAAACAATTCTTCCCTGTCTACACTGGCCCTCTTGCGTGAGTATTCTTGCGCAAGAGAGCTTTTTCCCGAGCAGGAGCGTGTAAGTATTTGTGGAAGTAGCACTGATTTTTGTACATTACAAAGTCAGTGTTCTTGCACAAATTCGAGTGGCCAGTGTAGACAGCTGGCAAGTTTTTGTGCAAAAGCAACTGCTTTTGTGCAAAATCTTGCCAGTCTAGGTGCACCCACTGTGTATTCATTCCCACTGCAGGTAGTGGAGAGGTGGGAGAGGCCCTGTTGGGGTGGGGAGCAATCGCTGAATGTTCCAAACATGCAAAGTGCCAGGTTACCTCTGCACAAATGGGGAAGGGCTGCTGAGGATGAAAGGAAACTGACTTAGCACCTCGTTCGGTGAATGGGGTGCTGTACTGGAGATTGCTCCCTGCAAGGCAGACAGCAGCCTGGGAAGTGGCCACAGTTACACCCCTATACTGTAGTGATGCCTGTGGGCTGTGACAGACGAAGCATGGCCCTGTGGTAGTAGCTGAGCAGTGGGGTTTGGGCCAGAACCTCCATCACTTCTGCAGGTTTCAGGGTCTCTAAGAGCCTGGTCTAGGTGAGATTTATGGCCCAGCTCCCCGAGCCATCTCCCTCCATGGAGAGACCATGTGCTGCACCAGTGTTCGAGGAAATACCATTAACAGAGGACTTAGTGGCTGGAGTTTTGCCTCTTGGCATCCTGAATGACTTTGCTTTGGGGCCACTTGCAGCTGGTAGTGTCCAATAGGGGCAGGGTCCGGAACCTTCTCTTAGCTTCTGTCTGTACTGACTTGTTTCAGGGAGCGGAGCGGAGAGGAGAGGGAGGTGCCCAGCCACTCCCGCGGGTTCATAAGGGAGTTCCCGTGCAAGCAGATGATCTCCCTGCCACCCATTGTGTGCACAGAGAAGGCCTGGGCGATTGGCTGGTGGGCTCTGGTCAGGAGGGTTTTGGGGACACTTTAAGTAGCTTGGGGGAGTCCCTGTGGCTTCCTCTTAACGGGGCTTTTTCTGCCTGCAGTGGCTGGTGCTCTGGCTGCAGGGAGTGATTTTCCCAAAGTAACTTGTCAATAGTTTCCTACCAGAGAATGAGACCAAAATTCCCTTCCCTGATTCTGCTTTCTCCAGCCCTCCGCTTTTCCTGCTGCTTCCTGTCTCCACCAGGAGCTCTCAGCGCCTGGAGAACAATCTGTATGTCTGAGGGGGTCTGTCCAAGAACTGAGCGCTAAGAGCCAGGACCACCACATTGGGATGCAGCTTCCTCTTATTTAAAATGAAGGGTTTGGCTGTGCCAGGAAAACGGGCTGTGCCTGGAATAGGATTGGTTTTTGAGAAGCAGACGGAATCAGCAGGCAGGTGCAAGGGGCTTTCAGGGGAACACCTCCCACCCGCTAGGTGGCCTGTAGGGAGTGGGGGGGCTGAAGCTCCCTCCCCCCGATTTGTACAGGGACATTGCTGGCTGCTCCCTTCATCAGGGAGGGGGGAAAGTGCACAGGTGCTGCATTCCTCACTCTGGCTGGGGAGTGCAGGGGCAGACAAACCTGAACCTACCCTAGCCGGGAAACAAGCGTTCTATCCCCTGGCTGCCCACTTCTCGCCTGGCCCCCAGCTGCTGGGGCTGTCCTTTCTCCCTCGGCCAGCCTGCAACTGAGCCCCTCGTCCGACACACGCAGACCAGTGCTTGACATGGAGCAGGGACACTTGAATTTTATTTTCCAAAACTCCACTGAGCTAAGGACCTGAGCGGTGTGGGGTGAATCTTCTAGTGGGGCAATAACGAACCGCCAGTGTGGATTTGCCAAGAGCAAATTGGGTCAAATCAACCTTATTTCCTCCCATCAGGATCACCTGAGGCACCAGGATCTACCCCTAGAGCCCGTCGTCTGGTGGGTGGCCACTGCTCTAGGCCATGCCCTCCCCTGCATGTGCTCTCTGGGGGTGGGCGGGAGCAGCTCAGCTCCCCCCGGTAGCAGGAGGCATGAGGGCAACATGTGCAGGACAGCACAGGGTAGCGGCTCTGCGTGTGCATCCCTAATGAATCCATTTATGTAACGGAGATTCATTAGGCACAAAGGTGAAGAAGAATCTGGGTTTAATCCCAAACAAATGGCCCCAAAGGCAGATTGCTGCAGCTCCCCCACTGGGGGTCTGTCCCCACGAACAGCCCTCTGACAACCCTCCCACAGGCTCTGCAGCTCCCCCAGTGGGGGTGTGTCCCCAGGAACAGCCCTCTGACAACCCTCCCACGGGCTCTGCAGCTCCCCCAGTGGGGATCTGTCCCCAGGAACAGCCCTCTGACAACCCTCCCACGGGCTCTGCAGCTCCCCCAGTGGGGATCTGTCCCCAGGAACAGCCCTCTGACAACCCTCCCACGGGCTCTGCAGCTCCCCCAGTGGGGATCTGTCCCCAGGAACAGCCCTCTGACAACCCTCCCACGGGCTCTGCAGCTCCCCCAGTGGGGATCTGTCCCCAGGAACAGCCCTCTGACAACCCTCCCACGGGCTCTGCAGCTCCCCCAGTGGGGATCTGTCCCCAGGAACAGCCCTCTGACAACCCTCCCACGGGCTCTGCAGCTCCCCCAGTGGGGATCTGTCCCCAGGAACAGCCCTCTGACAACCCTCCCACGGGCTCTGCAGCTCCCCCAGTGGGGATCTGTCCCCAGGAACAGCCCTCTGACAACCCTCCCACGGGCTCTGCAGCTCCCCCAGTGGGGATCTGTCCCCAGGAACAGCCCTCTGACAACCCTCCCACGGGCTCTGCAGCTCCCCCAGTGGGGATCTGTCCCCAGGAACAGCCCTCTGACAACCCTCCCACGGGCTCTGCAGCTCCCCCAGTGGGGATCTGTCCCCAGGAACAGCCCTCTGACAACCCTCCCACGGGCTCTGCAGCTCCCCCAGTGGGGATCTGTCCCCAGGAACAGCCCTCTGACAACCCTCCCACGGGCTCTGCAGCTCCCCCAGTGGGGATCTGTCCCCAGGAACAGCCCTCTGACAACCCTCCCACGGGCTCTGCAGCTCCCCCAGTGGGGATCTGTCCCCAGGAACAGCCCTCTGACAACCCTCCCACGGGCTCTGCAGCTCCCCCAGTGGGGATCTGTCCCCAGGAACAGCCCTCTGACAACCCTCCCACGGGCTCTGCAGCTCCCCCAGTGGGGATCTGTCCCCAGGAACAGCCCTCTGACAACCCTCCCACGGGCTCTGCAGCTCCCCCAGTGGGGATCTGTCCCCAGGAACAGCCCTCTGACAACCCTCCCACGGGCTCTGCAGCTCCCCCAGTGGGGATCTGTCCCCAGGAACAGCCCTCTGACAACCCTCCCACGGGCTCTGCAGCTCCCAAACAAATAGCTGTTGAGTTTCCACTGGACAATCAGAAGGTGGGGGAAGAGACGTGCTGGAGTTTCTCTTGAGCACAGTGGTGGGTTGCCTGTGGCCCACTGAGGTTGTGCGTGTGGCCTGCAAGAAATCGTTACCATTGTCCATGCACAGGACTGCCAGGTTCTGCTGGATTCTGTCCATGTTGTTTCCTGGTATTGCTAAAGTGAGACACCCGGAAAGCAAGGTAGCACGTTTTCAGTGGATCTCTTCCCCTTGCGGGTTCGATCAAGCAGCTGTCTGGGCAGTTCTTCCCCTAGAGCTGACAAGTCTCAGTGGGTTGCAGCAGGGACTGAGCAGGGGATGTCACTCCTGTTCCTGGGCAGAAGAGAGACGCTGGCTCTTTCCGCCGGTGCCACTTCTCGGCTCTTTCTGCCAATGGAAATGCAGCTCACTCTGTGCCAGACACACCCTCCCTCCCTTGCACACGAAAGCTCTGGCATCCCACTGGGCAGCGCTGCCCCAGCTGCAGCCAGAGAATGCTGAGAGGTTGAAGCAGGGAGGCACCTGCTGGGATTTTCCAAAAGGGCCTAAGCACCTGTCCTGCCTAAGTCCCTTGAGAGCTGTGAGGCAGGTGCCTGATGGACTTGGGCACATCTGAAATCCCCTCAGCTGCCAGTTTGTAACTAAGTGGGTAACTAACTTCACAAAGCTGGGCCTGCAGCTCTCTGCCCTGGACGAGTGACTGCCCCGTTCCATGCCTTGGTTTCCCCACGGTACCGGGAGGGGATGCGACTGGCAGGTGCCTTCCCAGGAGAGGGGCTAGTCAGGGCTCTGGCTGCCCTTGCATACCCCAGAGGCTAATGGGGACCCTCCTTGACTTCCCATAGCCACCCAGGCCACAGCACAGGACGAAGCCGAGCACCGGAGCAGTAAGTGGAGCCTGGAAATGAATGTCCCTGCCACTGGGGCCAGGGCTGGCTCTCGCCGCTTCTCCTGCCACTCAGCCAGGCTCTGGCTGGTCTGTGCAATGAGTTCATAGCCCAGGGCAAGGGCACCTGTAGGGCGCCGATTTCCACAGCCTCCGGTTTGAGCTAGATCCTTTCCCCACAGGAAGAGGGGGCAGGTTCTTGCGTTTCTGGGGAAATGCTCAGCAGTGCTGATCTGCCTTGCCACAAAAGCAGGGTCCAGGAAGAGGTGACCACAGGGGATGTGACGAAAGGGCGATTTGGAGAAACCGAGAGAGCAGACATCCGCTGGCTGAGTCACTGCCGGACAGCGACACGCGGCCACGGGATGGAAAGGGAGCTACGTGTGCGCAGACACAGCGCAGTCTGTAGCCAGCCACAGCTCTCCAGGGAGTTGCTCCCAGAGGCCCTTCCCAGTCACAGGAGCAGAGTGACAGGCGTGGCCTGAGACCCCTGCCCCGGAGCCTCACCTGGCCCTGTCATCACATCTCTGGGCCTTCGCTTGGTCCACATCTGCCCAGAACTGGCCACCTTGCACAAGTACCTTTTTCTGGCTGTCCCATGCCCAAGGCCAACTGCTACAGCGTGAGGGGGAGATTAGCCAGCAAGACAGGAAGGGGCAAACTGCTTCGGAGTCGATGTTTTCTGCCAGCAAGCAAGCTCTGTGAGGGCTGCCCAGGAAGGCTGGGCCTGAATGTTCTTTCTTGAGGTGCAGCATCGATGTTTTTCCCTGGACAGCCTAATAGGGGCTCTCACGTTTTCAGGCTCTCTCCTGTGCTCAAGTTGCAGCTGCATTTCTCTGCTCTTGCAGGAAACCGGAGACTTACAGTTCCAAAGAATTTGAGATTGAATCTCCGTGTTTAGACACTGGAGAACTAAATCTTGGAAGGGGGGGGGTCTCAGAGCGCACCATTTTTATCCATCACCACTAGCCATGGAGACCTTAGAACCTATGGCCCCCACCTTACCTTTGGATCCTGGGCTAGGTCTTCCCAGGGCTAGTGCTGAGGTTGTGGTTAAAACAGAAAATGGCGATACTGTCAAACTCTTTTAGCTTTTTCCACTATACACACTGGAGCCACTCTTAGGCTGCTGCCCTGCTAACCCAGCCTCACACAGATGGGTACTCTTCGTTCCTTTGCCCG